CCATCAGCTGCCTGGCCTTCCACCCTCACTGGGTCTGTACCTGCTGCTGCCATGGGGGGTGGCACAGGGACCCCTCTGGGGTGAGGGGAGCTGTCCCAGCCCAGCCCTGCAGGTTCCAGCAGCTCTGGGCTGAGGGAGCTGGAAAACCTGGGAAAACAACGAATGGATGGGAAAACATCCGTTTAAATAACAAGAGTTATTTTAGAAAGCCGCAGATCAGCTCACAAATATTTAATATGTAAAGGGAAGAGCAGTTTGCTCTTTAAACAAGCAAAGCAAAGCCCTGTCCGGAGGGGCCAGGTCCCCTCACTGCAGGAAATTCTCATTTTCAGCCCAGCCACGGCTCCTAACGAGCACATTTGCAATCATTTAGAGAAATTATGTTGGCAGTTGGCAACTAACAGTGCCCATAATTTCTCCCTGTGGCTGAAATGGGCCCATAACTCCTGCAGAGCTGTGGAGCAGCCGGGTCACTGTCACCTGTGCCTGGCACTGCTCACACCTGGACCTTGGAGTGGGTCACAGGAGGGAGCTGGGAAGGGAATGGAGCACAGGAGGGGCTGAGGGAGCTGGGAAGGGGCTCAGCCTGGAGCAAAGGAGGCTCAGGGGGGACCTTGTGGCTCTGCACAGCTCCTGCCAGGAGGGGACAGCCCCAGGTCGGGCTCTGCTCCAGGGAACAGGGACAGGAGCAGAGGGAACAGCTCAGGCTGGGCCAGGGCAGCTCAGGGTGGGCACCAGGAGGGATTTCACCAGGAAAGGGGCTCAGGGAACTGCCCAGGGAGGGTTGGGATCATTGGAGATGCCCAGGGAGGGTTGGCATCACTGGCACTGCCCAGGGAGGGTTGGCATCGTTGGCACTGCCCATGGAAAGGGGATCATTGGCACTGCCCAGGGAGGGTTGCCATCGTTGGCACTGCCCATGGAAAGGGGATCATTGGCACTGCCCAGGGAGGGTTGCCATCGTTGGCACTGCCCAGGGAGGTTGCAGTGCCCGTCCCTGCAGGTGCCCCAGCACACCCAGGGTGGGGATGTGGCACCCAGCACAGGATGGGTGTCCTGGGCAGGTCACTGTGGGTGATCCCATCGGGCTCTCCCAGCCCGGGCGAGCTGTGACCGTGTCCGTCTGTCCCTCTGTCCCGGCTGTGACCGTGTCCGTCTGTCCCAGCTGACCGTGTCCGTCTGTCCCTCTGTCCCGGCTGTGACCGTGTCCCTCTGGGCAGGGTGTGACCGTGTCCGTCTGTCCCTCTGTCCCGGCTGTGACCGTGTCCGTCTGTCCCAGCTGACCGTGTCCGTCTGTCCCTCTGTCCCGGCTGTGACCGTGTCAGTCTGTCCCAGCTGACCGTGTCCGTGTGTCCGTCTCTCCGCAGCCCCACCTGGCCGTCGGCAGCAATGACTTCTACATCTCGGTGTACTCGGTGGAGAAGAGGATCAGATGACGGCCCCAGGGGGGGCTCCTGTACATAGAGAAATCATCGACTTGAATGTTTCGTGTTGGCTGCTGCTGCACCCCATAACTTGAACATTTGTTCTTCTGACTTAGCTACTGATGGGTTTGACAAGGGGAAGAGACAATCTCCTGGTTTGGTTTTGTTTTGTTTCCCAGCTATATCCTCTCAAAGCTACAGAAAAGGAACATTTATTTTTGTTTCCAGAGGTCGGCTGCTCTGTCAGAACACGGCTCCTGAGCTCCAGAGGACTCGGATGAGGCAATGCCCTTGAGAAGGGTCTCGTTTTAGTCTCTGTTCCTTGTTTGGCTGCAGTGTGGGTTCTTCAAGGACTGTCAGGACTCACTGCAGCTCCACAGGACCCTCCAGCTGCTGCCAGCCCTGTGCCAAACCCACTGCTGGGCCAGGGCAGCCACCCCAGCGTGGGATGAGCTGCCAGGGAGGCAGGGCAGCATGAGCCTCCTCCTCCTCCTCCTCCTCCCTGCCTGCCCCTGCTCCCACAGAATGCAAGGACAGAGGGGGCCTGGTGGCCTGGGCAGGCAGGGGTCCTGCAGGAGGGGGCTCAGGGAGGTGGCAGGAGCAGGGCAGGATGTCCCACACCCTAAAGCTGCATGTGAGGAAGAGGAGGGCAGAAAGGGAGCGAAGATCTGCAACGTCCCGACGAGCCTGGAGCACATCAGTGGTGTCACCAACTTCCACCAGGCCCAGGGTGCCCGTGGGGAGCTGGGGGCACCTGGGGCTCTGCTGCCACTGTCCCTGTGCCACCTGCACAGCCACCGTGCCCATCCTGGGCTCTGTGTGCTCCCCAGGGCTGTGGGCACCAGGAGAGGCCAGGACTGGGCCCCTGGAGCTGCTCACCACGGCTGGGGCTCACCTGGCCCTGTGGGAGCAGGAATGGGAGCACCTGGGCATGGAGAATGGTGAGGAGGAGGAGGAGGAAGGCAGCTCCGAGCTCCCTCGTCCCAGCTGTCCAGGCAAGGCCTGCTCCACGTCTGCACCTTCCACGTGTGAATAATGAATGTTTTGTGCCCTGGGATCCCTTCTGGGGCTGGGCATGGTGTGGGAAGGCAGAGCACAGCCAGGGGACAGGTTTCCTTCCCGAGGGGCAGAACTCACTGAGGGAATTGCCAGTGTTCCCCCAGCGGTGCCACGGGAGCTGCAGGCTCCAGCAGGGTCAGGGAAGGGCTCAGATCCCCTGTGTCAGTGAACTGAGGGGATGCAGTGAGGGCAGGGCTCAGAACCCTCTGAACTGCAGCTGTGGTGAGAGAACGCAGTGAGGGAAGGCTCAGAACCTTCTGTGAGTGAACTGAGGGGGACACAATGAGGGAAGGCCCAGAACTTGCTGCCAGCTGTGCAGAGGGGATGATGCAGTGAGGGAAGGGCTCAGAATTTTCTGTGAGTGAACTGAGGGAATGCAGCGAGGGAAAGGCTCAGAACCCCTCGGAACTGCCAGCAAACTGCCAGCTGTGCAGGAGAAATGCAGTGAGGGAAGGCTCAGAACCTTCTGTCAGTGAGCTGAGAGGATGCAGTGAAGGAAGGGCTCAGAACTTTCTGCCAGCTGTGCAGGGGGAATGCAGTGATGGAAGGCTCAGAACCCTCTGCACTGCCAGCTGTGCAGAGGGAATGCAGTGATGGAAGGCTCAGAACTTTCTGCCAGCTGTGCTGAGGGAATGCAGTGATGGAAGGCTCAGAACTTTCTGCCAGCTGTGCAGGGGGAATGCAGTGATGGAAGGCTCAGAACTTTCTGCACTGCCAGCTGTGCTGAGGGAATGCAGTGATGGAAGGCTCAGAACTTTCTGCCAGCTGTGCTGAGGGAATGCAGTGATGGAAGGCTCAGAACCCTCTGTCCCTGTGCAGGGGGAATGCATTGAGAGAAGGGCTCAGAGCCCTCTGTCCCTGCGCTGGCCATGCCTGCCCCGTGCCCCCCCGTGCTGCTGCTGGCCTGGCACCGTGCCCCTGTGTGCCCCTGTGTGCCCTGTGTGCCCCCAGGCCCAGGGGACCCTGCCCGGAGAGGTCCCCAAGCACAGTTGGGGTGCCCCAGCACCATCCCCGCCAGGGGTCACATCCCAGGATAACCAATCAAAGGCTTTAAACCCCAAAACTACCTAACCCCCCCCTGTAAGTTACCCAGAGTTAATTATGGTCTAACAGAGCTGTGCCTCGTCCCGGGCTGCCCGCGGGGGTGGGAGCGGAGTTTGGGATCTCACCTAACCCTTAACACTCACAGCTTCAGAAAAAATGGATTTTTAACTCGTATCAGTGTGTTTGTGAAAGGAACAGGACATTCCTGGCAGCGGGAGCTGCTGCTCCTGCCTGGCTCTGCTGCAGCCCCACGCCCAGGACGGGGAATTTTAAGGGATTTTTGGGCTTTTACCTGAGCGTGTGTGGGCTGTGCTTCCACAGGTCTGATGCAGAGATTCAATCATGGGATCACAGAGTTTAACCAAGGGTCTGGAGAGCGTCCTACCTTAAAAGTTCACTTATCTCTATTTATTTTACAAAAATAAAGTTTAAAAAAAAATATATAAAAACCCCCACACGATTGTAATGTGAGAGTAAAAACGATTACAGACAAATAAATGGTTAATAAAAAATAAATGCAGAAACACTTCCAGGTGTGAGGATCCTTCTGTGGGGCCGGGGGAGGCCCGGGAGGAGCCAGGTGGGATTTGGGGTGCAGGGCTCGGGGTCTGGCTGTCCCAGGGGTGTGTTGGTGACAGATGGGTGTGCCAGCCTGGTGCAGCAGCAGCAATGGCAGTGCCAGGGTGCCAGTGCAGCTCTGGGCACTGGCTGCAGCCCGAGGGATCCGTGGATCCTGGCACTGCCAGGGACACCGTGGGCTCAATGGGCTCGGGGTCTCTTCTGCCCCAAACAATTCCATCACTTGGGAATGAATCAGTGTTATCCCTGTAATCCCATCCCTACAGCCTCCCTCCATACCTCCCATCCCCTAGATCCTATTCCCTACATCCCACTCCCTGTATTATTATCCTCATTCCCAATATTATTATTATTATTGTTGTTGTTGTTGTTATTATTACTGATATTATTATACTCATTCCCGATATTTTTATCCCCACTCCCGATATTTAATTCCCATTCCCGATATTATTTTAATAATTCTCATTCCTGATATTATTTTAATTCCCATTCCCGATATCTTTACCCCCATTCCCGATATTATTTTAATTATTCCCATTCCCGATATTTTAATAATTCCCATTCCCGATATTATTTTAATAATTCCCATTCCCGATATTATTTTCATTCCCATTCTCGATATCATTACTCCCATTCCCGCTATTATTTTAACAATTCCCATTCCCGAGATTATTTTAATAATTCCCATTCCCAATATCATTATCCCCATTCCCGGTATTTTATCCCCATTCCCGATATTATTTTTAAAATTCCTATTCCCGATATTATTTTGATTCCCATCCCGGTATTCCCGTCCCCAGCGCGCCCCCCAGCGGTTCGCTCCCGCCGCTGCCGCTCTCGCTGCGCGTTGTGCGGGGCCGGGCCCCTCGCGGCCGCCGTCGGGGCCGGGCCGCGCCGGGCCGGGCAGGAGCGGCCATGGGGAACCTGTTCGGGCGGAAACGGCGGAGCCGCGTCACGGAGCAGGACCGGGCCGTGCTGGTGAGCGGGCATGGGCCGGGATGGACCGGACCGGGCCGGGCTGGGGAGAGCGGGGAGAGCGGGGGATGGGGGGAGAGCGGGACAGACCGGGCCGTGCTGGGGAACGGGGGGGCTGACCGGACTGGGCCGTGCCAGAGAGCAGGGGATGGACCGGGGGGAGCGGGGATGGACCGGACCGGCCCGGCTGGGGCTGAGCGACCCCCGGTGCTGTCGCTGACCCGGTGGGGACAGACCGGGCAGGGGAGCGGCGCTGCTGGAGGGGGCGTGGAGCTGTCAGGGCTGAGCTGTGACCCCTGTCCGTCCCTTGTCCGTCCCTCTGTCCGTCCCCTTGTCTGTCCCCCTGTCCGTCCCTTGCCCGTCTCTCTGTCCGTCCCTTGCCCGTCCCCTTGTCCGTCCCCTGTCCGTCTGTCCCGCAGCAACTGAAGCAGCAGCGGGACAAGCTCCGGCAGTACCAGAAGCGGCTGAGCCTGGGCCTGGAGCGGGAGCGGGCGCTGGCCCGGCAGCTGCTCCGGGACGGCAAGAAAGAGTGAGGGACAGGGACAGCGGGGGGACAGGGGGACAGTGCCACCGCCGGGGAGGGGACATTTATCCCCATGCCCGATATTTTCATTAATTCCCATTCCCGATATTTTAATTCCCATTCCCGCTGCGCTGGGGGAATTGGGATGCAGAAGGGTTTGGGTTGGGAGGGACCTCAAAGCCCATCCCGTGCCACCCTGCCATGGCAGGGACATTAAACCCCATCCAGTGCCACTCTGCCATGGCAGGGACATTAAACCCCATCCAGTGCCACTCTGCCATGGCAGGGACACCTTCACTGTCCCAGGGTGTTCCCACCCCCATCCAGCCTGGCCTTGGGCACTGCCAGGGATCCAGGAGCTGCTCCGTGCCCCTGTGCCAGGGCCTGCCCACCCTCCCAGGGCAGGATTTATTCCCCATACCCAGTCTGCTCATCCTTGCTGCTCACAGGAGCAGGTGCAGGCTGCCCAGTTGAGCTGCACACAGGTTGTCCCCTTTTGGCAGAAGCCCAGAACGAGATTGGTGGCTGTGGTGGGCTCCTTTGGGCTCCAGTTGCTTCACCCCTCTGTGTCCCTCAGGAAGGCCATGCTCCTGCTGAAGAAGAAACGGTACCAGGAGCAGCTGCTGGACAAAACAGAGAACCAGATCAGCAACCTGGAGCGGATGGTGAGGCTGCCCTGGGGCTCTCCTGGGGTGGGGATCCCCTGGAATTCCATTCCATTGCAGCTGGCAGGGGTCCAGCCTCTGTCCAAGGGCAAATGTCTCCAGAATTGTATGTGAGCCACGATTTTCCCTGGAGACACAGAGTGGTGTGTTCAAAACTGCAGGTGCCCTGCTGAATGTGAGGTTTGGAGATTGCTGGAACGTTACTCACGGGGGGATGGCTGCACTGGGGCCTTCCTGCCTTGTGTCAGCCCTGTCATTTCAGAGCTGCATGTGTTTGGGTTTGGGGAGGTCTCAGCTGGGGCTGGCAGCTGGAAAATCCGGTGAAATCACCTCAAGGGCTGTTGGACCTGCTGGTGTGGGTGTTTCCTGCTGCTGGTGCCACTGACAGCGCTGGAAGGGCTCCCCTGATTCCTCCTGGCAGCCTGTGTGTGCCCAAGAGTGGCAGCCATGGCATCATTTAGGTGGAAGAGCCCCCTGAGCCCAGTCAGTGCCCAGCTCTGCCAGGGCCACCTCTGTCCCCAGCTGCACATCCCCGTGGTGTCACAGACATCCTTTATGGAAAATCCTTTCCTTGGGATGTTTCCTTCTGAGAAGCTGAGAGGGCTCAGGAACAAAATGCAAACATTGATTATCTGCTGCTGTGGAATGCAACAGGTGCATCTGGGATTGGTCTCATGTGGTTGTTTCTAATTAATGGCCAATCACAGTCAGCTGGCTCGGACAGAGAGCTGAGCCACAAACATTTGTTATCATTCCTTCTTTTTCTATTCTTAGCCAGCCTTCTGATGAAATCCTTTCTTCTATTCCTTTAGTATAGTTTTAATATATCATGGAATAATAAATCAAGCCTTCTGAAACATGGAGTCAGATCCTCTTCCCTCGTCCCCAAACCCCTGTGAACACCATCACACCATGTCTGTTAATCCCTGCAGGGCTCACAGGGCAGCCTGTGCCGTGCCATGCCATGCCAAGGTGTGCCAGGCTCCTCTTCCCTTCCTCCTCCCCACTGCAGGTCCAGGACATTGAGTTCACCCAGATTGAGATGAAGGTCATCGAGGGCCTGAAGATAGGCAACGAGTGTCTGAACAAAATGCACCAGGTACAGGCTGGGGCACTTCAGGGGGGCTGGCTGGGGCTGCCCCCCTGCTGGGCCCCCCTCACCTGCGCTCTGGCTCTGCCCTCCAGGTGATGTCCATAGAGGAGGTGGAGAGGATAATAGGAGAGACCCAGGACGCTGTGGAGTACCAGAGGGTGAGTGCAGGGGGCTGGGAGCAGCCTGTGCTCAGAGCTGCTGGGCTGGGCACTGCCCCCCCAGGCTGGCACTGATGTCCCTCCCTGTCCCCACAGCAAATAGACGAGCTCCTGGCTGGCAGCCTGACTGAGGAGGATGAAGATGCCATTCTAGAAGAATTAAATGCCATTACTCAGGTGGGGTTGATGTTTCTGTGGTTAAAATCCCCGTTTCCAGGAAGCTGCTTTTAGCAGCAGTTAAAGTTCCTTTTTGCTGCTCTCAGAGCTCAGTCTGGGGGGAATGTGGGCCATTGTCCCCCCTTTTTGCTGCTCTCAGAGCTCAGTCTGGGGGAATGGGGACATTGTCCCCCCTTTTTGCTACTCTCAGAGCTGATCTGGGGGGAATGTGGGCCATTGTCCCCCCTGCTTGCCCACAGCTGTGACATGTGTGACGCATTGTCTGTAATGTCCCTGCAGGAACAGTTGGAGCTCCCAGAAGTTCCTTCAGAGCCACTCCCAGAGAAGATCCCAGGTATGTTCTCCTTGCACAGCTGTGGCCTCAGGTGCTCCTGTCCCTGCAGTGTCAGTGTGTTGGGAAAGGGAGGGGACAGCAGCTCCTGGGGTGGCACAGCAGCTCCTGGGGTGGCACAGCAGCTCCTGGGGTGGCACAGCAGCTCCTGGGGTGGCACAGCAGCTCCTGGGGTGGCACAGCAGCTCCTGGGGTGGGACAGGCCCAGCTGAGCCCTCACTGCAGGAGCACCCCAGGCTGCACTCCCTGTCCCATCACCATCTGGCATGGCCTTGGGGAGCTCCCTGGGTGACACTGCTGTCCCTGTCACATCCTGCACCTGCCCTGAGACACCTCATTCCACCAGGAGCTCCATCAGGAATCCTTCCTTCCCTGAGCCAGCCAAGGCTTCCTCCCACAGCCCCAGGCTGGTCCCATCGTGCAGCTCAGGGTATTTGTGGGTGCTGGGCTCACCCTGCACAACTCTGCATTTCCCTTGGAGCTCTTCCCACCTCCCTTCCCAGTGCTGTGGAAGCAGCTGGATGAGGATCACTGGGGTCCCACAGTTCCAGGATTGACAGAGCTCGCAGCTGGCGGTCCCTGAGTGTTCCTGAACAACCTGAAGCCTCAGTGGGTGGATTTGTGTGGGAACGAAGCTGGGAAATGGGAGAGCTCGCTAAGAAAGTCACCAAACAGGCCCTGGTGGCCCTGCCTGGCAGGGAAGGAGCCCACTGGGATTCACCAGGTGTCTGTGCTGAGGAGCTGAAACTCAGGGAAGACTCTTCTCCTGGGACAGCAGAGCCCTGAGAGGTCACTCACAGGAGCTGGACCTCCCTGCTGGTGCAAAGAGGAGCTGGAAGGAGCCATTCCCCTCTGTGGAATCTGCCCAGGAGCAATCTGGCATGAGGGGAATGGGGCTGGTTTCCTTGGAGCTTGTTTACTCCTAAACAGGGCTCAGATGTCAGCGCTGAGGCCAAACAAAACAGCCCAGGGCTGAGGGCAGGGCTGGCCCTGCTCCTGCTCCTGCCCAGGATCTGTCCCTGGGCTGGGCTTGCTCTGAGAGTCTGCAGTGAAAAAGGGGCATTTGCACGTGGGAATGTGGGATTATTTCTAACCAATTTCTCTCAGCCCAGGTGCTGTGCACAGGGGACTGTGAGCCCTGGATCCCCCCCAGGAGATGGCTGCAGGATATCTGCATCCCCTGCCTCTGTAACGAGTTTCTTTTCCTTCCGCAGAAGTGTCACCCGTGGAGAACAGGCCAAAGGCAGAGCTGGTGGCAGCATCTTAACTCCCAGTGCTGGGGATCCCCCTCCAGACTCTCCCCTGGACAGTTTGCCCTCCCAGAGCGTGCTGGGAGCGGGCAATGCCTTGGCAGCATCCCAGCTGTGCTGGGCGGATTGTGGAGCAGGATTCCCTGCGCGGGGTGGGGAACCTCAGCTGATTATCGCTCTTGTATCAAGATTATTTTCTAGTGCTTTCTTTTTTTGTAACTTAAACTCCAGACTCACTCAGCTGCGCTGTCTCGGGATTAAACAGCCACTCTGAATCATCCAAAGCCAAATTTTTCTCTGTAGGTTTGGTTCTGGTGGTCAGTCTGCCTTTGCTGTGGCCAAACCCCAGGAAATCAGAGTGGCCGTGGGCTGGGTGAGCGCGAGCCTGCGTGGTGTCCGTGTCCCTCTGTCCCTGCTCTGTCCTGTGTCCATCTGTGCAGGGCTGGCCCCGGCCCTGTCCTGCTGCCCCTGGGCAGTGCTGGAGCTCTGGGCTGGACCCCCTGGCTCTCACAGAACCAGCCCCAGGCTGGGCTTTGCTTTGGGCCCAGCCTGGGTGCTCAGCCCTGCTCCTGCTGCGGCGGCTGTGACCCGGGCAGGGCTCAGCCCTGGGCACGGAGCTGGGCAGCCCTGGGGGGCAGAAATCTCCCCCGGTGCCAGCATGGAGCTCCTGCCAGTGCCGGGAGCCGTCAGGAGCCAGGACTCCTCCCTGGTGGGCCCTGCTGCAGCGCCAGAGTGCAGCTTTGGCAGGATGGGCGATGGATCCACAGACTCTGCTGCTCCTGCTGATGGTTCCTCGGGGACTGGACACGTTTCCTTGTGCTGCTGTGGACGCTGGAGCTGCAGGAATCACCACTCCAGAGTGCCCTGGGAGCCCTGCAGGGAGCCCCAACCCTCTGAGGACCCAGGGGACGCTGAAGGCTCTGGAACTCTGCTGGCAGCCAGCTGGTGGCAGATCTGGCTGCTCTTGGAACGAGCTCACCTGCCAGCTTGCAGATGCTCTTCAGGACACTGCAGATCTTTATTAATGATGTTCTTGAAGCCACAACCCTTCATCTGCATTTCTGTGACAGCAGAAGGACCAGAGGGTCCTTGGAGACTTTGTGGGGCTGTTATTGGGGTTGTGGGATCTGGTGCTAGACAAAAAGTGACCCCAGGGACTGGGCCAGCAGCAGCTCTGGGTGGAGCTGTGCTCTCCATGTTCTCTCTGTTGTGTTCCACAGGCTGGCCAGGGCATCCTCATCCTCCTCGTGTGTCCCCTTGGAGCCCCCCCACTCCCACTGCTGTGTCCCCACTAATGTTCCATAGCAGCCCCCAGTCCCTGGGCCTGGGTCTGACACCAGCACGGTGCTGGCAGAGCCTCTGGAGCTGCATTGGATCATCCCAGGGCCGTGTCCCTGCTCACCCCAGCCCTGTGGGCGCAGCCAGCCCTGCCAGGGCAGGGCAGGGCAGGTCCTGCTCTGCTGCCGGAGTTCGTTCTCTGCTCAGTCCGGGCTGAGCTGCAACGCAGCCCATTCCCAGCAGAGAGAGCCTTGGCTTCAGCAGAGCCCTGCTGCCAGGAGCAGTTCTGCTCCTCCAGAGCCTTGGCTTCACCAGGAGCAGTTCTGCTCCTCCAGGGCTCCTTCAGCGGGTGCTGGGCTGTCCAAGGTGGCCCTGGTTCACATGCAGGGATCATGACTTCCACTGCTGGTGCTTTGGGGAATCCCTGTTCCCTGGGGTTGGCATGGCCACAGGAGAGGCCTGAGGAGGGTGTGCTGCATCCCCCTGCTCTGGTTTTGTCTCTGGTGAATGTCCCGGCAGCAGGAGAGATGATCCAGCCCTCCCAGGGATGCTGTGCCAAGGCCAGGCCGGGTCCTGGTGGCTGCACTCCTCCTGGGTATGAGGAGGAAGCAGGGCTGGTGCTGAAGGGGTTAATGCAGCTCCCTCCATTGCTTGTTGCCACAGTGGAGAGGCCATTGAGTGATCCAGCAGGAGGGTTTGGAGCAGACGGGCCACAGCTCCCTGTGCCAATCGCTGTCCCCGCAGCTCCTGGGTCTCCTGGAGGAAGGGACGGGCTGGGCTGTGACAATAAACTGCCTCCAGTGGCTCCAGTGACTCCTCTCCAGCCTCGTGTTTGCACAGGGAGTGTCGTGGATGAGCAGGAGCTGCCTCGCTCCTCCCTGCTCCTGGGAGAGATGTGGGCAGGGGATTTCGGAGCAGGCTCCGTGTGTGACACAGACAGCCCTGGTTGGCCCTGTTGGGCCCTGGTTGGCCCTGTTTGTTTGGCCCTGGTTGGCCCTGTTTGCCTGGATAGCCCTGGGAGGTGACAGTGCTGGGACAGTCCTGGCACAGCCCTGGTGTGGATGGGATTTTTGAGAGCCTCTGCACTGGGTTTACAGCAAGGCCAAATTAGGGATTTGTAAGAATTACTGTGGAATTGTCAGAGTGATCCTCGAGCACTCCGTGCCCAGACTCAGGGCTCACATGGACGTGTGCCTCCCTCCCATCCCATTTCAGCTCCCTCTGTAGGGCATTGTGCGTCCATCCCCTGCCCCTGTGTGTGACTGTCCCTGCAATGGGCACAGGGGCTGGGGATGGGACCCCCTGTGACTGTCCCTGTGTGCAGTGGGCACAGGGGCTGGGGATGGGACCCCCTGTGACTGTCCCTGTGTGCAATGGGCACAGGGGCTGGGGACCCCCCACGCTCCCCCCAGTGCAGGTGAGGCCCCACCTGGGCTGTCCCTGAGCCTGCGGCCGTGCTGGGGCAGCAGCTGCTCCCTCGTCACTCTGCATTTCCATCTCCCCTGCCGCAGGGAGCCTCGGGATGCCCCCAGCCCCCCCAGCCGGGCCCTGGGAACGCAGCTGTGCCGAGTTTGGAGTGTTTGATCAGCGCTGCCCGTGCCCCTCAGCCGTGGCAGCGGGGTGGGAGCCAGCTGTCCCCAGGGGGCTGCACGCAGAGCTCTTCCAGCTGTTTGACTTGGCCAGATGTTGAGCGTGGGGGCCGCGCTGCTCGTGGGTAATTAAACCCTGGAGAGGAGGAACCGACCTCAGCTCCTGCCTCGGCTGAGCCCTCCCTGCAGCCCCCAGCCCTGGCACGGCCCTGGCACAGGGACTGGCACGGCCCTGGCACGGCCCTGGCCCCTCTGGGGAGGTTCTGGCCACTGGGCAATGCCCAGAGCGGGCACAGCACAGTGACAGTGACAGGGAATGTGGCAGTGCCAGGGAATTCCAGCAGCATTCCCGGGAGCAGCCGCTCCTCCTGGATCTCGGTGCCGTTCCCAGCACTGCTGTGGGATTGGGATTCCCAGCACTGTGGGATTGCCGTGCAGGGGAAGGGGAAACGAGGAGCTCTGCTGGGAGATGCTGCTGCCCATTCCCTGCTGTCCCCTCAGGGACAGTCCCTGATCCATGGGGACACTGCCCCATCCCATGGGACGTGTCTGCAGAGCCTTCATCCCACACCCCAGCGAGGTCTGAGATGGGGCAGGAATTCCAGCCAGCCTTATGCAAGCAGCAGTGCCTTTAAATAGACTCCTGTTCCCTGCTGTCCAGCTGGGCACCAGCCAGCCCTGCTCCCTGGGGCTGTGCTGGGCCCTCCCCAGCCACCCCCACCCCTCCGTGTGCCCACGGGCAGCTGGCACGAGCCTGGTGCGGGGCACAGGCCTGGAGCTGCCTCCCCTCCTCAGCAGCCTCTTCCCAGGCTTGGAGGGAGTTGTGTAAAATTGTGTAACGGGAGGTGGTGGCAGAGCCCTGGCAGTTTCTATGCCAACACAGCTGGATGGCAGCGCTGCCAGCACACCCCAGAACAGCTGCACAGCCCCAGAACAGCTGCACAGCCCCAAAACAGCTGCACCCCCCCAAAAGAACTGCCCCCCAAAACAGCGGCACCCTGACACGGCTGCCGTGCTCTGCTGCCTCTGGTGTTTCCCGGAACACCCAAGGAAAAACAAAACAGAGCTGAGAACCCCAGAGGTGTCAGATCCTCTCCTCTGGGTCCTGCTGGTTTTTGGCACGAGGGGCTCAGAGGCCCTGGGGGCTCTCCCTGTCCCCCCCCAGCTCCCACCCAGGGGAATGAGCTCACAGTGTCCCTTGTCCCCCACCCTCCTGGCAAACCCTGACTCAGAACCAGGCACAGTTCCGTGGATCTTTCATCCTCCTCCTCCTCCTCTTCATTACCCACACCCTGAGCCTGCCCTGCCCTGTGTGGGGTTCAGGTGCTTCCCACACGTGGGGGCACTGCTGGGGGGCTGCGTTCTGCACCCAGACCCCCAACCCCTGCAGTGCCACCCCTGGCTCCCTCCCTCTCCCTGTGCCGTGTTTCCAGTGCCCTGGTGTCACGCTGAGTCACCAGCAGAGGAGAGGAGGCTTTGGCAGGGAACAAGCCCAAGTTTTGATAGTTCAGCTGTGGGAAAAAAAAAAAAAAAAAAAAAAATCAGCGTAATTTCCTAATTAGAGCAGCGCTGGGAACAAAGCAGGTCTGTCCCCATGGCCGGGAATGTGACCTTTGCTGGCTCCTGGTGCCAGACGGGAGCTGCCACTGCTTGGCAGGGCTGAGGTGCCTCGGCAGGGCTGGAGCTGAGATGCCTGAGCAGGGCTGAAATGCCTTGGCAGGGCTGAAATGCCTGAACAGAGCTGAAATGCCTTGGCAGGGCTCAGCAGGACCTGCGCTGATGCAGGAGCCAGAATTCCTCCTCCTGGGGGTCCCTTGGCGGTGGGTGGGAGGGGCACTGGGAGGTGGCATTGTCCCCGTGTCAGTGTCACCATTTTTGCTGCCCTGCCCTGCCCTGCTGTGGAATGTGGCTCCTCAAGTCGTGGGTGAAGCTGTGGCCACGCCGGGTGTCCCCAAGGGCCAGCGCTGCCACGTGATGGGTGTCCCCAACCTGTGTCCCCAACCCGTGTCCCCAGCCCGTGTCCCCAGCCCGTGTCCCCTGCCCGTGTCCGTGTCCCCAACCTGTGTCCCCAACCTGTGTCCCCAACCTGTGTCCCCAGCCCGTGTCCCCAGCCCGTGTCCCCAACCTGTGTCCCCAGCCCGTGTCCCCAGCCTGTGTCCCCTGCCCGTGTCCGTGTCCCCAACCTGTGTCCCCAACCTGTGTCCCCAGCCCATGTCCCCAGCCCGTGTCCCCTGCCCGTGTCCGTGTCCCCAACCTGTGTCCCCAGCCTGTGTCCCCAACCTGTGTCCCCAGCCCGTGTCCCCTGCCTGTGTCCCCAACCTGTGTCCCCAGCCCGTGTCCCCAGCCTGTGTCCCCTGCCCGTGTCCGTGTCCCCAGCCTGTGTCCCCAACCTGTGTCCCCAGCCCGTGTCCCCAGCCCGTGTCCCCAACCTGTGTCCCCAGCCTGTGTCCCCAACCTGTGTCCCCAGCCCGTGTCCCCAGCCCGTGTCCCC